TTCTCCCTCCTCCCCCGCCGACTTTCGCTTGCTCGCTAATGACATCACACTATGAATGGAGGGTGGGTAGTCACAATTTCCACTGAAGGAGGGGTCCTTTTCCGTCGAATTTTTCAGTCATCTAAGTCATCATACCAAGGTGGGGTGGCAGGCAAACAACTCTAACACTGGGGGTAGGGTGGTTTTGTGAACTTGACAAGTGGCGCTTGGACTCGAGAAGATGAATAGATGAAGAGAAGGGAAGAAGGGAAGGGAAGAGAAGAGAAGAGAAGAGAAGAGAAGAGAAGAGAAGAGAAGAGAAGAGAAGAGACATGTACAACTAGCGCAGAGGGAATAAGAAGATAGAAGAAGTTCACGCGGACGTAGCTTGACATCTCAGGCCTTCCCTTCCTATGATGTCCCGCTTGGCAAATCAGTGACCCTCCCAGTGAGATGGTTGGAATCTGTTCGCTGACCTGCTAGTATCCGAATCTCGTTGATATGGTGAGGTCAAGCATGCAAGGTGATCTCTCAACTGGGCTGAGCTGTTGCCTCTGAGTTTCTTTCCGAACCGCAGCAGCGCTTGTTTTCTTCGCGTTGATCACGATCAGCGACGCGGCAGAGGTATCACAGCAGCGACGTCTTGCTGCCTGAAGGAGGATACCGAGCTCTTGACTTCCTTCATCCAGGTGTGGAAGATCATGACGGCGAACCTGACCTCAGTCAAACCTGGTTCCATGACGAGGTTCCAAGGGTCGACGCTAGTGGTGGGTTTGCATGTCTGTGACTTGCTGCCGCTCATGTCTGTGAGCAGCAATGGACTTGGGGCTACCTGCACCTCTACCCCGGAGTTTTCCTCAATCCCTACGGCTGCTCTTCGGATCCAGCCGTGACCTACTGTGCGTCCTGCGACAAGATAGGTGCGTCCTCCCGCTCCATCTCTGCGAGTGACCTTGTGAGCTTGCAGGCGGATCAACGTGCGACTCAGACGCCAAGTGTCAAACCTGCAGCGGGCAGTGTCTCGCGTTCGACTCTGTCTACTCCGCCGACGGTACTCTCTTCACCGGATGGCCGGGGGTAACCTTCAACCCACTTTGCCTGCCCGTGGTGGAGGCGTTCGAAGACACCTGGACTCCAGCCAACATCTCCTTCACGTTCAACGTGCCGGCCGGCTCTGACTACTCCAACACGGGCGTCTCCTTTCAGATCTCCTCCAAGTGGGGACAGTTCTCCTCGCTCAACTGCGACTTATCGAAGTCGGCGTGCGCTCGCGGAGCAGGTCAGGCGTCTGTCTCTGCCTCCATCACCACCTACCCAGAGCCGCGGATTATGACGATGCGGATCGTCGGCACGGTCGACCAAGTGACTCAAGCCTTGAGAGACCTAACCTTCAAACCCAACCTCAACCTCAACTCCAAGCGCCTTCGCGCCTACCATCTCGACCCTATCGCCACCCGCAGCCAGCCCTATGAGATCTGGGACGTGACGTTGGGGATAGGTGAGTGCCCGTCAGGGATGTGCGGCAGCCTCGGGGGAGCGACTCTCATCTCCGCTGGATCCATACTTGTCAACATCTGGGACAACAACGACCCTCCAGTCATCAGCGACCCTCAGGACTGCTACTTCCGTCCCGGCTGCATCGGCGACCTGCGAGACCTTCGCTTCGCTGCGGCAGGAGCTGGCTACACTGTCGGAGACCTCGTGGTCGTCACTTGCACCGGGAAGTGCAGCACGTGTGTGGCTTCTCCGTTCGCTGCCAAGGTGTCAGAAGTTGGCAGCGCTGGGGAGATTCTAGCTCTTGCGGTTACGAGCTACGGGAAAGGGTATGTGTCCGAGTTTCCTCCTACTCTCTCTGTGCAGGGGACTGGGACTGGCGCTGTTCTCCTAGCCAACGTCGGGGCCTCACTCTACGGCCCGTGTCCCTTCCCCCAAGAGACTCGAGGAGCGCTAGGGTTTCCCTCTGAAGCCGCCAGTATGATCAATTGTAACCCTGAGCCGGAGTGCTCGGCAGGATCCGCGGCGAGCGGGTGAAACGACCTGCCGTCCCCTCATTCCGAGCTGACTGACTCCTGTCCCCTCAGGTCTTCTGGCCTCAAGACCCTCGAGTACTACTTCGGGCAGTTCTGGCGGTACGAGGACCGGACCGAGGCCCGGGCTGTGGAAGGGATTCAGATCGAGGACGTGGATATCTCCGAGGACTGCAGCTACAACGTTCCCTATTGCTCGACAATGGACGTGACGGTCCGAGCGCAGCAGGGGGCACAGATCGTGAACAGGAGAGACGCTCTGGGGATCTACACTGACACTCGAAGTGAGTTCGCCTGGACTGCGGCAATCCCTCCGACCAACTATGCCATCAAGTCCATCCTGTACCAGACTGAACTGCCCCAGTACGCCGGCCCGAACTCAGCGGCTCTCAACTACAACTCGCAGCGTGGGGGGAGAGACGAGTTTCTGCTGGTGGTTGCGCAGGATCAGGGCTTCACAGGCTACGATGGGATATCTCAGTGCTACAAGGGGCCGGAGAACTACGGGATGGGAGCGGGGAAGGATTTGTCATGCGGTCTGAGGGTGAACGTGACTATCGTGGCTGTCAACGATGCTCCGACGATCTCAACGCCTTCATCTACGCTCTTCCTGCCCAACGAGAACCAAGCCTTCACGCTCTCCTCCTTGGGCATTGACGACGTGGACGTGTCTGAGGTGATGACGTCTGGCCTTGCGCAGGACGACTGGGTGTCAAACGTGCAGTACACGCCGCTGCTGAACAAGATCAAGGTCTACCTGTCTGTGACCCGCGCCTACATCCTCCTGAGCCCGGCGGCTCGCGACATCACCGTCACCCTCAACTCAACTCAGATGTGGTTCAACGTCGACAAGAGGAACCTCGGTCACGACCTCTGCCGGGCCCAGGCCTGCATCGCCGACCCGGTCACCTGCCTCAAGCAGAGCAGCAGCGCCTCCATCAAGTACCAGGAGGTCTGCGCGCTCGCGGACGAGACGTGCACGACCAACTGTCAGTGCCTCCTCGACGACGCCGCGTGTAGCAAGGGGACGGCGATCCTGATGTACATCAACCGCACGAAGCTCGAACGCGCCCTCCTCTACTTGGATCTGCTCTACGCTGCCGTCGAGACCCAGGACATGACCTGTGGCGGCATGCCCGTGTACAGTGCAACCTCTTCGGTGGTGGGAGGAGGGACCGGCTTTCTCAGTGCCAACCCGTTCACGGTAGGCAAGAAGTGCACGAGCAACCAGGACTGCGTTCCCCCTCAGCTCCGCGGGTGCACGCCAGGGGTCGACTGCTTCTGCTGCGCCAACATTACCCACCCCTGTAGCTCCAGCGCAGACTGCAACTCCTTCAGCCTCATTCACAACCTCTGCGGGTGCCAGCAGGGCCTCGTTCCGGCCTGCGGGAGCCCTGAGCGGCCCTGCTACTGCTGTAACAACCTTGACGTGAACTGCAGCAGCGACTCTGACTGCGGGGTCAACGCTGTCGGGTCAAAGTTGTCAAACTTCTCTCGGTGCGGGTGCAGGAGGGGCGAGGGGATGTGCGGACCCTTCGGACAAGGGCCGATAGGGTACAAGGGGGACCCCACCCTCACCTTCGACTCCGACTTCAGTCTCCTCAGCGGGGGTTATCCCTGCACCTACCACGGCGCCAACTCTCAGAAGTGCCTGTCAGCCCTCATACTGCAGGAGGGGACGTCGAAGCCAGCCATCATCAGCCAGATGCAGGTCACCGGAGCTCCGGAGCTCGAGTTCTTCGGGCCCCTTGTGCAGATCAACGCGGCTCTGGCTAAGATGGTGTACCTGACGTCGCATCCCAAGTACCCGCACTACAACAAGCGGTACAGGCTGCCGGTCGACCAGCGAACCTCCTCCTTCAACATCCTCTACGACGACGAGGATCATCTCACCCTCATCGTCAACGACATGGGCAACAGCGGGGGGACCCGACGGCGCTGCATGCTCTGCCCGCAAGACTGCTCCTGCACCAACGACTGCTCCGTCTGCACGGACTGCGGTCGCCCCTACCGCGCCGGCTGCTTCACCGAGCAGTCGTTCGTGGTGTCCGTCACTGCCATCAACGACCCCCCCGACCTCCTGGGGCCTTCGGAGGTGACGGTAGTGGAAGGCAAACCCTACTCCTTCATCAACACTGACCACTACGAGCTCGTCGGAGGCATCCTCAACCTCATCCCTGGCCCCTCCTCCATCACTCCCGACGCTCCGCCCGACCCAGCGCAGGTTCAGTTCGAGCAGGCATGCATCAACGATGCGACGGGGGCCTGCACCATGCAGCCGCTGTGGTCGACGAGCAACGGGGCGTGGGTGCGAAAGACCAACGGGATCAGCATCGTCGACCCGGACTCGAAAGACTTCGGCTACAACGACCGGTACATCACCCTCAACGTCAGCTGCCAACACGGACGGCTCTTCCTAAACGAGACCTTCCTTGAAGACGTCCTCTTCGACGGCGACACCAACTGCGACCTCGCCTACGACCCTCAGAGCTCCGAGCTCGGATGCCGGGTGAAGCTCATGGACTACAAGCACCCGCAGGGCAACGTCGGGCTGTACACGAGGATCAGCGGGCTGAACTCCATAGAGCCTTACTGCGGGTCTCTCGTCTCCCTCAGCCGCAACGCCTTCGGCAAAATTCTCCGCACGCCAGTCTCTCCTCCTCGCAGGGTCCCTGTGGTACAAGAGTCAGTGACGACCATCTCGTACGGCTGCCCCTGCTACTCCTCCGTCCTGTTCGAGCCGACAGGAGCAAGCTCCTCCTCCTCCTTCTCCCACTGCTCGAGCCCCATCACCATCAACGGGCAGAGCACGCAAGAGTCCATCCCCCTGATCGGCAACCGCTTCATCGCCATCAAGGGGAGGTTGCGGGACGTGGCGTACGCGCTGTCCAACCTGACGTACCTTCCTGACCCTCACTTCAACACCGACGTGCCCGGCAACAGCGAGACCATCACCATCTCCGTCAACGACGAAGGAGCCATCGGTGACGTCACCAAGGCTGCCGACGGGTCGCTGATCCTCCCCCCCTCCCTCTCCAAGACCAAGACCATCAAGGTCAACATCGCAAGTGTCAACGATCCCCCGGTCATCGGCAGGAGGATCTACACCACCTGCGACGCCCGTTACAGCGACCGCAAGATGGACTGTCCTCGAGGCCCCAACTTCTCTAACGAGCTCTTCTGCGGAGCTTCGGGCTGTAAGCTGAGGAACCTCGCGTATATCAGCGCCTGGACGCAGATGCCGTCATGGCCTTCCCGAGACATCTTGCTGACGACGTACCCTATCATGATCAACAAGACCTCCGACTACATCGACGTCGACGAAGACTCCATCTTCTCCGTCTCCCCCGACGTGCTCTGGATCACCGACGCTGACTCGAAAGAGGCCGAGTCAATCTTCTCCTCCGCCTGCTCCACCACCCTCCCGGGCATTCTGCCTCTCAACTGCGAGCTCTCGCCCATCTGCAGCATCCTCTGCACGGGAGGGTACGGCACCCACCTGGTGTCCAGCTACCGATGCGTCGGGGGTCCCAGTGACGGGGCGGCATGCGTGCAAGGGACCACCATGTGCGGCAGTGGAGTGTGTACATACTTCAAGGGCCAGCTGCTGTCGAGCAACTCGAACCCAGGAGAGATCCTCCTCGTCCTCTCTGTGTCGCACGGCAAGCTCTCCTTCTACCCTCGCCCTCCTCAGTTCCCCACCACCCTGAAGCCATCCTACTTCGCCCTCACCAACAGCACCCCCTACTGCGACCCGACTGCTGGATGCACGTCGCTCGTCAACTGCCCGGTCGAGTTTGACTGTCTGTTCAACGTGTCGAGGCTCTGGATCAAGACAAGCCTGGCGAACCTGCAGCAGGCGCTGATCGACAAGTACATCTCCTACGTCTCCGACCTCAACTACTTCGGGCCTGACGCTCTCAGTGTCTTCGTGAGCGACCTCGGCTACTCGTCTGGGACCTACCAGAGCATTCAGACCGACTCCTTCCTCCTCCCCATCAACGTCGTCTCCATCAACAACCCCCCGGTCATCTCTGCTACCACCTCCGTCTTCAACTACCAGCGCGGCGTCTTGTGCCGGACGAGCTACATGGACTTGTTCTCCACAGGAGGGACCCTGTGCCTCTACCCCAACATCTCCCGCCTCCCTCCCACCGCCTCCGGCTCCTTCGTCTCCTTCTCTGACGTCGACATGGACGTTGTCACCCCCAATTGCCCGGCCACCTGCGGCAACATGACGCTCATCATTCGCTTCGGCCGGCAGAACTCTGGAGCCCTCAGGATCGGCAACGTGGTGCCGACGACGCAGATCTACGAGTACTTTGACAGGCAGAACAGGAGGAACTTCGTGATGTGGGGCAAGCTGAGAGACATCAACATGCAGATGAAAGACATCTTCTTCGACACCGACGACCAGTACACGGGCTACGCTCCTCTCGAGCTCATGGCCAACGACATGGGCAACTACGGCCTGTGCAAGCGCGACACGACCTGCGCGCGCTACGACCCGCTGACCAACATCCAAACCACCACCTGCACGCGAGACAACCGCATGCCCTGCAGCCCCCCCCTCCCCGGCCTCACCTCCGGCACCCTCGACGCCGTGGTGGGGGCCAAGGAGACCTGCCGGTACCCCACCTGCCTCGACTGCAACCGCGACCGACTGTGCGGCTGGTGCCCGACGACGTGCGGGGGGAAAGGGAAGTGCATGATCGGGAAGAGCAAACCCAAGTTCGAGGACTGCGAGGAGGGACTCGCGTTCAATGGGACCAACTACTCCAAGTTCTACAGCACCAACGCAGCCTACGGGCTGTGCAAGCCGGTGAAGCAGGACATCGTGCTCATCGCGTCGCTCTCCGCCCTCTTCGGCGTTGCCTTCCTCATCTCCAGCTACCTCATCATCGCATGGCTGACGCAGCGGCACGGGACGCTCTTCCGATACCTGAGGAAGAAGAAATGGGAGTTCTTCTACAAGGGACGCAAGTACCACCTGCTCCCCTCTGAAGGATCCTCCAACGCTCACTTCCTCTTCCTCGTTGTCGCCGTCTTCATCGCCGGCATCATCGCCTCGGGCTCCATGTCCAAGACCTCCGGCCCCCTCGTCTTCCTTCGCTCCTACCTTCTCGACTCTCAGAAGAGCATCTCCCTCTCTCTTGACAACTGCTACGTCCGCTTCGTCCCGTCCCGCAAGTTCCCAGCTCCCGAGAACCAGCTGGAGGCGATGAAGATCAGGTTTTCCTTCCCCAAGAACAAGGACATCTACCTCAAGAGCGACACCTGCAGCCCGGACTCCCAGTTAGAGATCTTCAACAACCTCCCCGAGGACGTCAAGTACCTCAACTACTGGTGCTCCGTCCAGGTGATGTCGACCTGCTCGCCCTCTGCTCGGCTGCAGCTGGGAATCTGACAGTTCGCTTGTCAGGTGATCATCCCTGACCGCTACGTCATCCCCTCGCTCTTCATCAACTCCAAGGGTGACAACGTGACGAGCATCCGCGGGGGGCCCATGGACCCTGACACGGCAGGTCTCGGCCTTGACTTCGGCCCAAACACTTTCTCCATGCAAGGTGAATCTGCCAAACTCCTGGTCTTGCTCCTCCTCCTGCTCCTGCTGCTCCTCCTCCTGCTACTGCTACTACTACTACTACTTGTCCTTGGGTTTCTCGCTTCCTCCTCCTACTTCTTTCACTCTCCTCCCTTTCGCTGAGCTTCTTCTCATCCTGCCATCCCTTAGGTCGCTTCGTGCAAGCGCGGCTAGAGAACGTGAGCGCCAAGGAGTTCATCTTCAACGTGAGGAGCGGAGAGCTGCTGGCGATGGATCTCGGGACCCTCACGGTCAGAGGAGGCGGAGGAGAGAGAGGAGGGACAAGCAAGTCAAGACGAGAGGGAGAGGGAGGGGAGGGGTGGGATCAGGGGGATGAAAGACGGGAGAGGGGGCATGGAGGAGCAGGAACAGGAACAGTAGGAGGGGGGGGGAGGAGCGTGAGTGTGAGATCGGAGGGTGAGGACTCATCCTCGATCGGGTGCAGGCGAGCGTCCCCAAGGCGACGATGACTTCAGTGGACGCGGACATGATCGTGACGACAAGGCAGATGACGTCAGCGACGGTCTGGCAGAAGAGCGACAACCTCGTCTGCCTCACTGCCGCCAACAACTCGCTCTACGTGGACAGCAACTGCCAGGACATCTGCGAGTTCATCAAGCCCAGCAACGTCACTGTCGCTCCTGACCCCAGCATCCTGCAGGAGGACAGCACCTCCCCCTGCCCCAACTTGCCCACCCCCCTCGTCAGCGGCTGCTACAACCCGTCCGACTGCACCCTCGTTCAGACGCAGCAGTGCTTCTGCAAGCCCAACTGCGAGGCCCCCTACTCCTCCCTCAACGGCCTCTGTGCAGAGGACGGCACCTGCTGCCACCAAGTCTGCTCCGGCGCCACCTCCGCCGACTTGTTTCCCATCCCTGACCAGCCCAGGTGCGGCGCCTGCGTCGACAGCATCAACATGCCTTGGACGCCAGGCAACTTGGTGCAGCAGTGGACGATGGTGTCCGACAAGGGGCAGATCTCCTTGCAGTCCCTCGCCGACCCAATCGAAGCTCACTCATCCAGCCCGCTGCTCTCCGTCTCCTCCTACAATCTGAGCCTCGTCCCCGTCCAGGAGCCGACGGTGCCGGTGGACTTCAGCGAGACGTCCAAGATCAACCTGGACTCGCTCTTTCATCCGGGGGGAGCCAATCAGCCCAACGCCAACTGGTTTGTCCTGCAGGTCACAGGGCCAGGAGCTCCCGAGTCAACCTACGCCTCCTTCGCCTGGCTGTCCCACATCCGCTACCTCATCGTCCCTACCTGGATCCTCGACTTCTTCTCGTTGAAGCTTCTCTCTCCCGTTAGAGGGTTGTCTAAGGTTTCTCCTCTCCCTCCTCGCCTCTTTTAACCCCGCCATCTTCCTCCTCGTTTCTATGCCTCAATCCTCTTTTCCTCTGCGATTGCCAACAATTCTGCCAGCTCACCTTGAAGCCTGCCTTCTGTCCTGGGGTGCTTCCAGCCAACACTCCAGTTTTCAACCAGCGTATCATCACCATCTACAACACACTGGTCACTAGCCTCCTCCTCTCCCCCTCCTCC